CTCTTTCAGCTCTACCCTGAAAACAGTCATGTGTTAACAGCAGTGACTGGGTTTGGAGTCAGTAAGCAGTTCAAGGGTAACTAAGAAGACACGTTTCATTGCTGGGGCAGCTGAGAGTGGAGGAATGGGGCTCCTGGGAAGGGCTTTGCTAGAGGGCTGGGAGCAGAGATGAGCGAATAGGATGGATACAAATGCAGGAGTGCAGGGATGCTCAGGAAAGGGCAGGGGCTGGTGGAGGGGCAGGTAAGCCAAGGATGATAGGAGGCAGCACCAGAGGCTGCCATGCGGAACTTGGACAGACAGGAACACCCAGAGCAGGAACACCTTACTCTGTGGCTGCTTGTTTTCCCTAGGACATGGAGAAAGGTACTTGACTGCTCTGTGACTCAGTTTATCCATCTGTAAAATGGGCAAGGAGTTTTACTAACTACCTCCTAGGCTTGTTGTAAGGGCTCAGGAGCCATTCGTAAGGGTTCAACAATGTCAGAGAAAGAAATCAGAGGGTTTGCATTGCAAGTAGCAGATTTGTAAAACAGAGTGAAGGAAGCTAAACACTGTCTGAGAGGTGGAGTAGCCACAGGTGCAATCACTCCTTGAACACACATGGGTGATTGCTGCTTAAAGGCCCTGCTGGGAACTTTGAGGGCCACTGCATAGGACACGGCACCTGCTATAGTCTGGATGTTGGCTAAGAAACATACACACACTTCTAAGAAAGTTGAAAATGACAGGTAGCAAATAGTGAAAAAAGAAGTAAGACCTGGACCCAGACAGCCAGGTGAGGCAAAGCTCCCCAGTTCGGGGCACCGGAAAGCCTTCTGTGAAAGTTGGAGCCTTGGCCTTGATGATGGGTGAGATTCTGAAAGGCTCCTTGACCAGGCAGGGCATCTTCTATGAGCATCAGAATCACCTGGATAAACTAGTGAGAATGGGCGTCCCCAGCCCACCTCAGAGATACAGCAGGCTTGGGGCAGTCCCTGGAAACCATTGTAACAATTGCCACTGGTGGTGCTGCTATAGGTCATGGGTGCACCACACCTGGGGAGGATGAGGATAGAACCCAGGTTGTTCTGCACAAAAGCACACACATGTTTGAGGGCAGGTGTAGAGACTGTAAGGAGAGGTGGGGGATGGGTCAGGGCTTAAAATGGGAATCGATCATTTCATTTAAAAAGTACAAATGAGGCAAAACAGAGCCAGGCACAAAAGCCCTGCCGCACTAGGTGCTGATGTTCTCCTAGGCACTTGTTTCTCCATGGGTAAGTAAGTTGTCACTGCAAATAGAAAATGCAGGGTAATTACAAATAAAGGCTAAGTTTCAAAAGGCTATTACCCAGATAATTTGCCTCTTTTTGGATTTAAGCAAAAGACAATCCTTGGGTTACCCTATATATTTTGCAAACTAGATATCTTTTGTTGCCAGACTAAAGATTTGGTATAGAAAGTATTTTGTTTATAACTAGAGAAGCAAAGACTTAATCCCATTTTGGGCAGGTTACAAAAGGTAAAAGTGACATTCATTTCTTATAAAAGTAACTAATATTAGCACGTATATTTATCAGGCATGTTATTCTCCCCAAATCAATTGTGATGAACTTTCCTTTGCCTCTGCTGGAGCAGAGGGTTGGGGCCCTGTTTTCAACTGGGGAGGACAAGAAGAAAATGGCAGTAGTGTTAGAAAACGGGGTGTCTAGAGGAAGCTGGAAGTGATACAAGTCTGGCCCAAGCCTCTATTCTATTGGAAGCAGCAATGGTACCAACATGCAAAACACAGTAAAAACCACTACTATATTATTATTACTGTTAGCATTTTTATTACTTACTCTGCCCATGGAGTCACTTAAGTATGTTGCATATTAAATATAGTCTTCCAAACAGCCTCATGCAATGGGCATGGTCACCATTTCATGCATAAAGTAACAGAAGTGCAGTACACTTAAGACAGTGGATAGAGGTTTTGGTGGAGACTGAACGTGCAGAGGTGATGGATCAAGTCTTAGGAGAGATCCCTGATGGAGAAGAGGGACCGGGGAAAGAATATTACAGTGTCCCACAGAGAGGGACCACAGGCTGGGGCTAGACAACGGAAAGGCTCAAAAGCCAAAGGAGGATTTCTGGGCAAAGGTGATGGCCACCCATAGTCAGGGCGCAACCCAGGATGAATGCTCAGAGAATTTGATTGGACTTGAAATTTGGAATCTGGGAGTGTTTTTTGGTCATCAAGGGTAGAATTCCTGATGGCATTAGTGAGGCAGGATTGGGGAGGTGTAGAAAGAGAAAGTAGAAAATGAAAGATAAAGGCAGTGGATATGGACCATCGGTCTATAAAGTATGGCTGCAGAAAAAGAGAGAAAAGAACTGAAGACTTTTCTTGATGATCCAGACCAGGTCTGATGGAGGCAGAGTCAGGGTCAGGAACAAGAGGAAGACATACACACACTGGGCTGTAGAGTGATGGAGGGTGAACCCACAGGTCCACACACACTGAATGTGGAATGGGTCTTCATGGGGTGGTGCCCCAGAAGATCTCCCACTCCAAGGCCCTGCCAAAGGATCTGTAGTTGGCTGTCCAAGAGCAAAGGGCTGGAGTGGATGTGATCGGGTGAAGTGCTCCTGACGGACCTCCTTAGATGAACTGGAGAAGCCTCCAATCACGGCTGCATGAGATTGAGGTAAGTGAGGCACTCACCTTGGGGGTGAAACTTCAGAAGGTGCAAAAAGCTCAGCAATCATGAGAAATAATATTCTAGTGCAGTATTTTTAAAAATCAAAATTAATGTAGAAAAATTCAAGATGAACTAAAATAATGAAATTTTAACTGAAGATACTGGTGTGGACAGGATTGTGTCCTCTCCAAAATTTATATGTTGAAGCGTTGACCTCCCAGGTGACTGTATGAAGACAGGGCTTTGTAAGGAGGTGATTATGGTCAACTAAGAGCATAAGGGTGGAGCTCTTATCCAACAGAACTGGTGTCCTCATTAAAATGGAAGATAAACCAGCTCTCTCTAACTCTCCCTGTCTCTCTCTTGCCTCCATGGGAGGCCTAAGAGAAGTGAGAAGGCTGCTGTTTGCAAGCCAGAAAGGGAGGCCTCACTATACACCTAATCAACCAGCACCTCAGTCTTGAATTTCCCAACCTTCAAAACTGTAAGAAATAAATTTCTGTTGTTTAAGCTACCCAGCCTGTGGTATTCTGCCTGGCAGGCCAAGCAGACTAAGACGGATAGGTCCTGCAGTGCTGTGCTGACTATCTCAGAGCCTGAGGCAGTAAGAAAAATGTCTGTCTCTATACATGTTTTAATGTTATTTTTTTAATGTTCTATGTTTTCCAGAACATTAAAGGCATTGGAAAAGTATATACTTGTTTCCATGAAGGCCAGGAAAGTAAAATTATAATTAGTTCTGGTTTGGGTTATATACAGAATATTTAAAATTAAAAGAATGTTGTACATTTTAATATCTCTATTTTACATTTTTTTTCCAATTTTTTAAACACTTCAATGTTCTGGAAAAAACCCTAGCTATTAAAAATATACAACACCATGCAGAAGGGACAGCAGTTTTCCTTTGGCTGCAGGCTCCACGATAGCTTGTGATGGTGTTGCTCAGAATCCAAAGGCAAGTTTCTTCTGAGATTTCTTTTATTGCTTATTTCTTTTATTTTCTTTATTACTGAAGTAATATATACTCACTAAAAATAATAATCTGAAGGCAATCACCTGAAGAGGAGAACCAACAGAATATATATTTCTCCATCCAACTGGAAAAATGCTAGGGTTCCATCTTGAGTCAGATGTCTATCTACTTCTGTCCTTTGCCCATGAATGTATAAATGTCAAGCAGGAAACTACGACCCTCTCTTGATATTCCTTGAGGAGGGAGCTATGTTACAGTGCCTACTGCCTCTCTCCCCACTCTCACTCTTCCCATGGGAGGTGGGTATTGGGAGAGGGGCTCATATACAGTGCTCAGCCCTTCTTGTCTTTGGGAACCTGCCTGTCCACAGAAACTGTGTTCTGGTAAGCTCAGTTCCTCTGTACTCTGCCCAGCAGAGGGCAGGCTCCACAGCAAAGGCCACCGTCCTGAGGGGAAAAGGGGTCTTGTTTATGGGCCACTACTGATATGATATTCCAACAGGTTATGCAAGCTTGGCTACATATATTCTCTCTCTCTCTCTCTCCCTCCCTCTCTCTCTCTCTCTCTCTCTCACACACACACACACACACACACACACACACACAAAGAGAAAATCTTGAAAACCTTAGTTGATTGAAGATATTCAGTTTTGCCCAAATCACCTTTTCAATCAAATTTCCATGTGGCCAACTTGTTTTCTGACCACATTATCTGATTTGATTTTAATTCATCTTTTAGATGGGGTGTCACTCTGTCACCAAGGCTGGAGTGCAGTGGCAAGATCTCAGTTCACTACAACCTCTGCCTCCCAGGCTCAACCATCCTTCCATGTCAGCCTTCCAAGTAACAGGGACCACAAGTGTGCACTACCACACCAGGCTAATTTTTTGGTTTTTTGGTAAAGACGGGGTTTCACCATGTGGCCTAGGTTGGTCTCAAACTCCTGAGCTCAAGAGAACCACCTGCCATGGTTTCCCAAAGTGCTGGGATTACAGACATGAGCCACTGCACACGGCCTTGACTACATTCATTTAAATGAAAAGACCCAGAGCCATCCTTATTGAGTCTCTTTTATATAACTAGCTTTCATCTTCTACTTCTACTTCATTGTGTATTTATCTGGTCACAAGCAGCCACCGATTGTTTTTTCTTCTCCTGTTGGCCAGCAGAAGTTCTGTGAACAGATCCTCTGACACTAAGAAGTGTAGAATTTTCATCTTCTCTCATAGGACCTTGACCCTGAGCTTTAGGTTGTACATAATATACAGTTCTTGGGTCACTGCATTGCTGTTTTGGTCCCAGGGTGGCTTGTGGATGGGGCTAAGGCTCACCTGTGTTGTTAGGTGTCCAGCACGTCTTACCTGGGCATGCTCCTGGCTGGGCACAGCGCTCAGACCTGTCGCTGCCATGTATGTGCTGCCAATGGTCTTGATCTTTTCAACTCCACTGAATTTTGGCTTGGACAGAAGCTGTGAAGCAATGACAACCATCCAGTTACTCAGTTGGATGCTGACCTGAAGCTGAGCAGTTTATAGAGACATTCTCAATTGCTGGTTCATGTGAGGATTCACTCAAGGTAGTGACAAAAATATTAAAGAAAAAATATTATAGAAAGTTATAGAATATACTCACAAACCTTCTTGGAAGACCAAGAAATCTGCATAATTTCAGGAGACATTTCAGCTGAAGGCAGCCTAAATCCTTTTTACATTTATTTAATAAAAAAAAGCAAATAACTAAAGTAGATAGAAGAGTTTATCTGAATAATTTGTTTACTCATGTAGTCTTAAAACTAACCTTTGAGCCAGATAGCTCTTTCAGAAAGAAGTCAGCCAAAGATAGTATCCACTAATAGTGTTTGCTTTAGGCATCAGAACCTGTCCTTTAATATTCAACCTGTAGTAGTGTTGCTTCAAGCCTTTGTCAATTAAACTTTACTAAGTAAATGCACATCTCACTAGCTGAAGAAGGCCAACAGTTGCAACTGTTTACAGCACTCTCCAAAGTGCCTGTAAGCCACCCAGACACATTCAGTCAAACTAGCAAATTATCTCTGTGTTAGTGTACTTTATTCATCCATTGCTGAGTCAAAGTCTGCAGGGCAGATCCCTGCAAGTGGTAACCCTGACAGGTTCAGAAGAAGGCCGTGACTTGTTTCAACCACTGCTTATGCACCCTTGGGCCTTGGGATTTTCCAGGAACAAATACTTCATATATTTCATACAGAGCATGTCCTTTGAGGAAAGTGCAGCAGCATGATTTACTTCCAAGGAACATGAATTACCATTCAAACTTGGCTAGTGATGGAACCAAGATGAATTATGATGCAAATGACAATGGGCTTGAATAAATTTCCTGACTATGCATATGAAAGGCATAAATATAAAAGTATGATTTGATGACTAAGGTCTTTTCTTGCACGGTCAGAATGATTTATGATCAATTATTCATGCTGAGGACTGGCTTTTGCCCTCTGAGAGACAGGGTCTTACTCTGTCACAGTAGCTGGAGTGTAGTGGCATGATCATATTTCATTGCAGCCTCCACCTTCCAGGCTCAAGTGAACTTCCTGCCTCAGACTCCCAAGTAGCTGAGACCACAGGCATATACCAACATGCTTGGCTAATTTTATTTTTGCCTTTGTTGTTGTTGTTGTGAGACAGGGTCTCCCTATGTAGCCCAGGCTGGTCTCAAACTCCTGAGCTCAAGCTATCCTCCTACCTTGGCCACCTAAAGTGCTGGGATTACAGGCATGAGCCACTGCAGCTGGCCTGAGCCTTAATATTTCTTGTCTTCGAATCAGTTATCAGCGTCCCACTTGACTCCTCCTTAGTCTATTAATTTAGGCTTTCAGCTGGGATGGAAGAAAGATATGAATAAGTACAGACGCTGTGGGAAAGAAGAGGAATGGGCTTGCAAGTGATGGAAGCCCTGGAAGGTCTGTATTTTCTTGGGAGGGCCAGGCTCAAACGGCACTGACCAGAGACCAAGAGCATTTTCTTGCCCCTTCCTTGGCACTCCTGATTTCAGAGGAGATTCCTCCAGGATTACATATCAAATAATTTAAGACAGATGAGCAAATCCCTGTGTCACCTATCCACATATCCACTGTTACTCACCCATTAGTACTGGGAGTGTTTATTTCACTGAAGAGCAGCTGAGATTCCCAGCCACTGTTTGTCATGATGCCCCCGGGATTGCAGTGGTCATCTCTGGTGGTCATGACTTCTCCAGGAATTTCTAGCATCAACCTCACAGTGATGATGGTTGTGAGAGAAAACACACAGGGCCCACAAGACATTTAGGTGGTTTGCCTGAAGCCACTGTGTTATATAATCTCGCCACATCACTGTATTTCAAAATTCCATGAATCATCACTAACATAAGCTACCAGACAGATGTCAATTTTCTTCTATTTTGCAGGATAGTGATAAGAATAATGTGGCTGCAATATCCTTAAACCAGAGGGGTGTTTGCTCTTGCTGGGAAATAGAACATAGTATTCTCTATGCAGAAAGTTGAAAAATGACACCTATTTCAAATTCTAAAACAGACACTTTGTCCCTTCTAAAGAGTGTTGCATTATTCCCCCATACAGATTGTATTTTCAATAATAAAATGTCATCCATGCATAGTGCAAGTTGATATCTGACAGAGGCATTGAAGTAGGCACAGATACAACAATAATCTATTATAATTTATTATCTTTTTTACATAGAAAGAGATGGGCAAGTATTTTATCTAGAATTCAATCCTTTGTAGAGGATCCATGAGCACACTGGATCCACATTTGATTCAACAGATTTTGGTAGCTGTTCCTAGCAGTCACACCAGCTTCAAAAATACAATGTATTTGTCTACCTCAAATTAGTCAGAGGCCTAAATAAAGCAAAAGCCTTTAATGCCAGATGCCAGAAATCATGCCAAAGGACAAGTTGTTTTAGGATATGCCTCTATCCTGAACTAACTTCAAGTGCACAGGAACATCAAGGTGTGAGACTGGGTGTCCTCCTGCCCTTTAAAGGCAACTCTCAGTACCTACATCATCAAAGTCAGCGATGATCTCGTTCAAGAGCCGAAGGCATTCCAAGCCCTCCTTGTTCACGTCGGATTCTGTGTAAAACTCTTTGAAATCCGGAATGGAGGCAAACATGACACAGACGCAGTCATAGGACTGGTGGTATAGGTCCTGCTTGGGAGAAAAGCACAAGCTGATCACTAGGAGACTGACCTTTAAACAAAAACACTCCACATGCAAGTGTTTTGTTTATGCCAGGATTCACCGAGAAATCACCCAAATGCCTACTCCACCTGCCCCACCCCAGTCGTGGCCCAATCTACACGCTGCTGCTGCTCTCAGGAGAAGGCTTCTAATGAGCTGGATTCAGGCCACTACCAGTTAAGAGGAGGTGCCTTGCCAGTTAAACCTATCATATTGACCTTACACAATGACAAGAGGCCACAGAGTTCTGGCTTAGGAAAAAGCGTCCTTTAAACAACTGAAAGGAAACAAAATGTTTTCCCAAACTATCAGATTGTCCTGAAATAACTCGTTATGGCTCTAGTATTTGGGTGGGAGTCTTGATGAATTTTCCTCTTCTGTGTCCCCTGAAAAGAGCATATGGAATTCATCAAGTTACTTGTTATTACAGGAGAAAGAACCAATAGAACTCCTCAGTCTATTTATTTATATTATATTAGACACTGACTACATTTACTAGGGATATTCTTTTGTTTTTAAATAGAAAGAGGCTCATAGTTCTTCATCCATAGACATGAGTTAAACTGCAATGTCTTGTAAATACAATTTCAAGATGTTTCCATAATTTTCCTAAAACAGTGACACCTTCGAATCAATGAAGGTTTCAGAAAGGAAGAGCTGTTGGGTGGTCTTGTGGGCTAGTCCGAGGTGTGGAGGATCTGCCCGTCACTGGCAAGGGCTTCTGAGACCCCTGAGATGGCCCCAACACAGGCAGACCGGCCGGGGCCTCACTGCACTGAGGATGCAGTGCAGCATGGGCAATGCTTTCTTCTCCAGGCAAGGTGAGGAGAGTTCTGTTAGACAAGATGGCCGACTTCTGAGTGGAGGGAAAAATGCTAGTGGTGGGTGCTTCCTGTGTGTTTGGCAGGGCGAAGGAATCCATTCTACATGAACATTATCAGTAAGCCCTGCTCTTTGGGGCAGGCAGATGAGCTCCTTTGCAGACAGCAAGCACTTAAATAGTATTATAACTCCAAGGTTTGGTGGCACCTCAGAGGAACAGTTCTTCCCCTAGCAAGGTCCCCTCACAAAACCATCAGAGCCACGGAAACCCAACTGAAGGCCACACAGTTTTGAGAAAAAGATGGACTCATGTCCTGTTCTGGGTCTCAGGACCAGCCACTCTATAACGCCCACTACTTCCTCCAAATCTGTACAAAGTACATGAGCAATGGAATCAAGGTTTTCTTGTCTATTTTGTGCTCAATATGATTGAGCTGCTTTCTTGTGCATAATTGTGTTTTCTCTTGCTCTGCAAAGTTGCCTTTTTGAACATTCATCCTTGGTAGGCAGCCTGTGACAGGTGAGGCACAGTGCTGGCAATGCTGACTGCAGCCAGGGGGTCAGAGTAACAGCGATGAGAACCCCCTAGGATCTTGTGTGAGTTAAAAATGTCAGTTCTGTGACCAGGCGCAGTGGCTCATGCCTGTAATCCCAGCACTTTGGGAGGCCAAGGCGGGCAGATCACGAGGTCAAGAGATCAAGATCATCCTGGCCAAAATGGTGAAACCCCATCTCTACTAAAAATACAAAAATCAGCTGTGTGTGGTGGTGTATACCTGTAGTCCCAGCTACTCAGGAGGCTGAAGCAGAAGAATCGCTTGAATCTGGAAGGTGGAGGCTGCAGTGAGCCTAGAGGCCACCGCCCTCCAGCCTGGTGAAAGAGCAAGACGCCATCTCAAAAAAAAGTCAGTTTTAAAAAAGTGGTATAAACGCCACTGGCTTCCCTGTCCATAAGGAAAGGGTGCATCTAGCAAGGCGAGGACATATTTTCTGTAGCCTGCGTTTCCCCACTGTCTGCTGACACTGGCCAGAGTGCTCTTTGGGGAATGATAATGATGACAAGACTAAGCATGACAATAGCCAGCACTTACTGAGCGCTCACCACATGGTAGGACAGGTACCTCTCTGAACACTTTACCTGCATGAACTCACCCCAACTACAACCCTATGAGGCTGGTATTGTAGTTTTCCATCCACGAATAGAGAAACTGAGGCACAAAGTGGTTCTGATACTTGCCCAAGTTTGCAGTTATCATGTCTGACAGTAGAATCCACCCTTGTGCATGCTACACTTTATACTTTATCAAGTCTCCTGGAAGATCATGGGCTTCACTGCTTGGTGTGGGGACAGAATGGGGCCTCTGATACTTGCAGGTCCTGTCACTTTACCTTTGTCTTTTCCTCTGGAGTCTTTAAGGGTATCTGGGAGTTGGAGATCATGAAATGCAAGACTGAACTGATGGGCAGTTTGGATCTGACATGTCATTTCATTACACAGGACCAAAATGGGGGTGCACAGGAGAATCTCTAAAGGACTTCCAAGAAGGCAGGTGCCTGGGCCTCCCCACTCACCAACTGACCCTCATCCCCTAGGCTGGGCTCCAAGTATGGGCATGGTTTTGAAAAGTTCTCTGGGTTATTCTGCTGTGCAGCCTTGATTAAGAATGACAGACTACATGAGGAAATGGAGCTCAGGGGAGCTGGGGGTGCCACCAAGGCTCCCAGCTGGCTGAGGGGAAGGGCCAGGACCAATCCCTGGATTCTCTGCAGGCCGTGAACACTGCTGGAAAGCTTGGACTACAAACTGATCACACACCTTCTTTGGCAGAGTGTCACTTGGAACCTCTGGGGGAATGTCCAGGGTGAGCTCCAGTCACTGGTCACCTGGTCCTGAGATTCACGGCTTCCATAAAACTATAACTACTGGAAAACCATGGAAACTTCTAGGCTTCCCAAATTCTCTGGAGCCTGTGAAACTTTCAGGGCTGAGAACTATGCCTTGAACTCATGAGAGGTTCCCTCCCATGGTTGGATTAGGCATGGGGCCAGAGAGGATTATATGCTGATTGGCAGATGACTTGAGCTTGTCTTATGCTTCCAGAGGACCTGGGGGTTGGGGTAGGGCAGGTGGGCAGCTTTTGAAGATAATTTGGAATTCAAGGTCTAGAATGGGTGACCCATGTCCAGCATATAGTTACCCAAAAGTATTACCAAGCTTTAGAACTGAAAGTAAGTTTAAATGTCACCTTGACATTCATTCACATGTAACCTTTCTGTTGAATAAGTTCAAGGAATGAAAACATAGTCACAAAGCAAATGCATTTCTGTGCCCACTACCCCTTTCAGTTTTTGGAGTGTGGCTAGATCTTCCCCTATCTTGGACGAACACCTGGGACTACCCCTGGCCCTTCATGTCACTGTGTGTAATGCAAGGTCCTCTCATTGATAATCAGAGGCCCCGGCCCCAGAAATAGGCAAAACTCTTACCCTCATTGTACCTGTGGCTTGTGCCCTTCCCCAGCGGGGGCCTTTTGCAGGCGGAGGAGGGGATCCGTTGGTTTCCACTCTCTCTCCACCTCTCTTTCTACCTCCACTCTTCCTAACTTGCTAGCTGGGTTTTCTAAACCATCCAGAACAGATAACAGGGGAAGGGGGAAGAGGCTTGAGGCAGGACAGCTTCCTATTAGCTGCATCTCGTTCCCTGAATATTCAAAGCTGGTGTCCCCTGTGGACGCTTTCATGGGTTTTTGGAAGGCTCCCTGCTGTTTCACCCATCCTTGGACATCCCCCCACCCCCAAGTCTTCCACGATGGAGGCTATGTGCATCCCTCCTGCTCCTCATCACCCTCTCAGGTTCAGGCTTTCAGGCTACTTCTTTGAGTTTCTCTGCCATGGTCGCTTCACCCCATCTTGCCCCCCACTCCAGGCAGCTTTGTAACATTGGATCTAAAACAACCTGACACCACTTCTCTTTTTCTTGCTTGGTTCTTGAGCAACACTCGGTACTCTTTGCCGTCCAAACAACGGACAGTCCAGCCATGTCCCGAACCCCAGCTCCCCATCCCGCGTGCCCAGATGCCCCATCAGTTCCTGTGTTCAGCATTTCCAAGTGTCAGAACCCGCCTGCCATATGTGTCCCCCAGCTGGAGATGCTTCCCAAGACCACTCAGAGACTCAAGGCCAGGCTGAGCAGTTCTGGCCTGTTCACAAGGCTGGAGGTGAGGGCGGATCCCCACCTTCCCCTTTAGGAAGGAGCTTAACCCCACTACATTCTGTCCAAACACTCTTTCAACCTCTGGTCTTCTGGCTAATTCATAAACTCCCTGCAGGTCAGGAAGTCATTTGTAAGCTCTGCACACCATTTGATGTCTCCTTTGGAATAAGAGAGCAAGTATCTCTTAGTGTCACAGGCTGAAATTCCCTTTGACACCCTGTTACACACACATGTGGTCTCTCAAAGGGCCTGTTGTGTGTCAGGCTTCATATCAGGTGTTAAGGACACAAAAACAACACAGGCCCTGCCCTTAAGGAGCTTAAAGTCTAGTTGGAGAGACAGGGAAAACAAAGAAAACATCATAAAGTATGATTGGTGCTGCGGGCCCAGGTGCGGGGACGTCTGGAGCTTTTCATCCAGGTGGGCACAGGGTTAAAGTATTCTGGAAAACATTCAAAGCTGCTACTCGCACTCAGGTCTCCAACCTTCCAGACCAGACTGGTGCTTTGTCTCACCGACTCGGGCTGCATAAAGGCTTTGGATCTTGCACATTTCCTTAGTTGACCTATGTGGGAAACATTAAGCCCTGGTGTCCCCAACTGTCACTTAATGCCTAATTTACTCAGGGAAGTCAAATGACTAGAAGTACAGAAGCATCTATTGAAACCCCAGGAGCATGTCAGCCTGACCTCCTGCAGAGGACACGTGCTCATAGAGCTTAAAACTTGGCGCTGTTGAGGGGTCTGCCCGGCTGTCACTGGGAGGGTTCTCACATCAGAATGGGAGGTGCTGTTTGCACAGGAGATGTGTTTCCCAAATTTTTGTGGTGGCATCTGTGGCTCATGTGGCTTGTTTTGATCAAGCATTGGCTCCCTCTGAATGAGGCTGTCTGGATCACAATCCTCTACCACCTGGGGACTTGGCACGGGGT